GTAGCGCATCAAGAGCGTCACCGAATCTATGCAAAGTATTAGCCTTCCGATTATCCAGATATGAGAATAGACTACACTCACGCAGGAATAAAACCCAGCACAGTTCCCCAGCCAAAACTCATCCCGGCAAAATTGAAGAGGCACATGTCGAGCCGGTAGGCTCTTCTCTTCACCTTGGTCAAAACCATGGCGTCATGATCAGAGATGCCGGGTGGCAGCGCCTTCTTACGCTTCTTGGTTCTTCCGCTCCTGCTGGGCTTGCCATCTAGGCGAGTTGCTGGCACGGTCTCAAAGTATGGATCCTATGCTTAAATGTTAGCTCTTCTAGTTCCGTCTATGACTTCATATTCTGGTTAGTGAACGTACCGTTTTGCCGAACTTATTTTCGATCGTCTCCCCCAAAATCTTCTTACCCACGAACTTGGCCACGAGCGATGCCATGGCTACAGAAGTTCAGGATGATGTAGGATGTGTGATGTATAGTGAAAGTTGCAGGCTGGATGGTGAAGGAGCCAACACCAACCTATGACACCTTGACACACGTACCTTGGCTTAGGTGTCTCGGCAGGTGTTTCACAATGCACCGTTCGAATTGGAATCAAGAAGGGGACTTCGTCAACAGGCTGGTAAAGGAGTTCAAAGATTTTATATGCACATGTGAAGGCGAAATCTCTCTACGCAAATTTCAAGGTATTATGGGTAGCTCTTGACCAATTCAGTACCTTTCCTTGATTTGGGATACAATGATGTAATCCATTGATTCAAGGGGCGGTCTAAAACGAATCATGGTTGACGTGGTTTCACTAAAACATTGTGGCGTGGCATCGCTGATTGGCTAAAGCGCGCACAGCCACATTTACTTCATCCACACTTGAACTCGTGTGGCTGGGACCTCTTAACTCATTCAGCTGAACAGGCAAATAGGTTTCATTGTTGGGACTGCGCCACACCAGTTGTTGAGCCACTTAAGGATGCTAGAATTCCGCTGTGGTTCTTGCTCAGTGCTTTCGGTGCTGAAACTCTGTTGGGAAGACACGCATATGAGTGTACTGATCTGCACGTGGCAGCTCTATGTTGTTCAGTCGTCGCAGCCTCTTCCACGAGAGTCTAGAGCAATCTCAACATTCGAATATTCCATATTGATCGGCGGCTATTTGATGGGATTTTGAAGGAGCTTGACTGTATCACCGGCAATAAAATGTAAGAACAACCCTGAGGGTTATTAGCCCACTACAGACATCGCTTTCCAATCGCCAGTGCTTTCAACTGCTTCTATATGTCGACTAGGTGTTGGATGCCAAAAGTTGAACCAAAGAATGCGTGTAAGTTGTCCCACAGAACCGGGATACTAGTTATTTCGTATTGTTTGGTTGTATGGACAGCTGAATTTGCTAAGACAAAGGGAAAAGAAAAGAACAATTGCCGCCCTATATTACACGACCCATAGCTTAGGTCCCAATGTGCATCTAATCGTAACTCCAACAACCTGTGGAAAAAAGAAAAAGAGAAAGGGCCTTTCAGCAAGTAGTTCTTGTTGAGAGACGCGAGTTGTAAAATAGTCCAATCCTGCGCTGGCTAAGAAATGATATGATATGTGACCGGCACCAATCAATAAAAGAAAAGGCGAAGAAAATAAAATCGATGAAAATGAATGTCGAGGAGACTCAAAGAGAAAAAGAAGTCGATTCGCTGTTCTCAGCACTTCTTAGGAGAAGCTCACGAACTTGGGGTCTCGCGGGAGGCCGTCAGGCCCGATGCCGTTGGCTTTGAACCGGTTTTCCATGTACACCTTCCTGGCTTGGTCGAATGTCATCCGCCTCTTCTTCATGATTTTTGTGATTTCTGCTTTGGCGGCGGTGTCTAGACCCTGCCTGCTATCTCCGGCTTCCACATTTGCGTTGAGATCGAAATTGCTACTGGACAAGCCGGCCTCGATGTCGTCCGCGAAGCTTGTTGGTAGGCGCGAGTAGAGGTAGTCGGCTCCTGGGAGATGGACATCCTCAAGAAGCGGGAGCCAATAGCTGCGAGTAACGACCACAGCCGTCACAAAGAGGATGAATGAAAAACATATGGAGTAGAGAACGTAACCCATCCTGATGCGATATATGGAATGGATGGTTGGGAAGGAGTCAGAGTAACGGGTGTATCGGATTCAGCGGCTTCGGTAGGCGGGTATTGATCGAAGAAGTGGAAGAACGTGTTTCGAGTCGACTGTTCAATCAAACGTGAATTCTGTTAGTGAGAGATCATTGCAGAGAAGCAAGCTGGGGCACGTCCGAGGTAAGTGTCGTCGCCATCAATAGGTCCTCCGGGCGAGAACGGTCATCAGGAGGACTAACGGCTGAATCCAGAAACAGCTGACGTGAACACTGTGGGTCCTCACTGCCCCTCTAGTGAGGTGGGACGGCCTCCCTGGCAAGACTCGCCGATAAGGACATCGATAAGAGCCTCGATTGCACTAACCGTAATGCGGCAATTAAGCGAGCCCACACTTTCGATAGAATCAATTTCGACTGAAACCTCACAAAGAACTCCGGACGACTCGAACTCCCAAGTCAACATCCATAAAATCAGTCACAATGGCCTCCTTCTCTAACGTTTCCTCGGACCTGATCTGGGAGATCACCCGTAAGTACTTCTATTGACGGACACATTTTTACAACCCGAGGTTCTTTTCGGGAGCAATTGGAGCTTTGCTAATAATCACCTCTCCAATGACCAGGCAACAACAACAGCTTCCTCACCAAGAGCAAGCAGAATGGCGGTGCCCAGTTCTCCCGTGACCCCCTGAACCTTCTCAACAAGAACAGCCGCAAGCAGGCCGGTTTCGTCAACGACAAGGTGCGTTTGAAACATGAGACCAGTTCCAATTCGAAGTTCATAAATTGACATATGATTTCCACAGGCCGTCGGTATTGTTCGCAACGAGAAGGGATTCACCGTCATCACCAAGAAGGCTTCCGCTCCCAACAAGCCCAAGGAGGCCTTCCTCAAGTCTGAGCACAGCGGCGCCAAGTCCAGCCGAAAGTAAGGACTGCACTGTCGACAAGAGAAGTCTTGAACAATAGCTAATTTGGCACGTACCTAGGGCTTACAAGGCTGTTGCCAACCAGACCGCCAAGAACGGCTACCGTGCTGACCTGCGCGAGACCGCTGTTCAGCGCGTCTCTGCCATCCGCCGATCTCATCTCCCTGTCAAGCCCGAGCCCGAGCAGAAGCTCCGTGGCAACAAGGCCAAGAAGGCTGAGGCCTCCTCGTAAGAGATTGAATGGAGATATTTGGACGGGTCTTAGTTAGGAGCAAAGGGAATTCGCCTTCGCTTTTCAAGGCATGGAACAGCATCATTCCATCATTGTGGAACTAGACGGACCGCACGGCCGGGGTTTGGCTTCATGGGAATTTTAAACAAAAGAAATTCGACATCAAACTACAATTGATTGCCTCTTGCATTGTGAAGTATACCGGTGGCTGGACCTGCAAACTATGCGGAACCGACTTTGGCGGAGAAGATATTATCCGTGTCGCAGCTATGACATGCGCAACGTTCTCTCACCAGCGGCGGGTCTTTCAAAAAAGAACAAGGACCTGTTGTTGTTGCTTTTGGTTCAATGTATGTCGTCGACTGGTTGTAAGAAATGGAAAACATCGATAATGGGCCGGTAGCGACTCTAAGGTGCATGCGCGAGAGCATTGCCGTACTCCTCCGATAGTGCCTCGGTAACTGACCGAGATGGTTTACCGTGATGGTTTCCATGTTGGCTTCGGCAGAGGTCGGAACGACCCGATGAACCTTCGTCGAGGTAAAACGGTTACGCAGGTGGAGGATAATCGTGTTCATCGTTGTAGCCGATGCCTAGGCCTGGGCGGCCCAGAGTAATGGTTGCAAAGCCGTAGAAGATGAAGCCATTTGTCTTAGACGAACCATTGGGTAGCCTACCATAGGTGCATCGAGAGATGACCTTGAAATTCCCACACGAGTCGTGACTGTTGCAGATCCTGGCAATCCAAGAAATCAGGTCAAATAACAATTACTGATGGCCAAGGTAGGGCTTGCCAGCTGCAAATATCGCAACTTTTAAAACCAGCTAGGCGCTGCATAGTGGCATCATCACGGTGCAGCCTGTGCGGCTCTGTATATTGATATCGCAGGCCTTAATCAACAAGCCGAGTTGTCTTCAAGAACGACGGATGTATGTTGCGGGTGCTGTAGGCGCATCTGCCTGGATATCCGAGAGACGTCATATGCTTCCGATAAATGAGCCTCGGGCTTGGAGTTGACTTAGGCCGGAGCCAAAGAACGTGCTTGTGAAAGTCGGTAATAGCCGGAGCGTCAGAACAATTGGATCCCCATACCTAGGTATGTTATACAGCACCAGTTACATGTAGGGGAGAAAGCAGCGCAAAAGATCATGTCTCAAGAATTGATTTCTCATGTTGGAGGTGTCCCTCTATATACCCCGAAGCCGAATTTGCGAACACGGCGAGGCAGCTGCCACCTAACCTGTAGACCCCGCCCTAAGGGGAAAATGGCGGCGATGGCACGGGGAGTTGGCGGTGCTGGCCGAAGAGGTACATCGTACGTGAACGCCGCCCTCTCCACATGACAAGATGGGATTGCATAATTGGCAAAGTAAACCCTCAGCAAAGTCCTGCAGGGCCAGTGCTAGTAGCTTATTGCTAGCAGCAGATTGTCCATACTGTACCACCATCTGCTCCGTATGCGGCATTCCGACCTATCGCCGGTGGTGTAATTGGCCACTGCCCCTCCCTCCTGCCCCTCATTTCCCGTCCCCAGACAGGAGGAGCTTCTGGTGGGGAGATCGCGCCAGAGCTGGCTCGATTCTGACTACAAGAACCAACCCAGCCCACCCCCAAGAGAGACAGCTTTCCCTCCCTACTCCCTCATTCTCCTTCTCCCACAGCTCTCATTCCATCATTTACCGCGTCTCTTCCATCTTCGCCCGCCTCCCCCAAGTCTCAACATCCCACAGTCCGTCAAGATGGTCAAGGCTGGTTCGTAGCGACCCTCTCTCCCAACCCCGCATTGCTATATATGTTATGCAGTTTTAGCTCTATGCGACTCGTTCAAGCACTGACAAAGATCAAATACAGTTGTCGCAGGTGCCTCCGGTGGCATTGGTCAGGTACGTGCTCTTATATTCGAATCTGCGACCATCCCAGACTCTGGATCTTGGTATATACGAACGTTTGCTAATTGGTATCCAACTGCCAGCCACTGTCGCTGCTCCTCAAGGGCAGCCCTCTGATTGACGAGCTCTCCCTCTACGATGTTGTTAACACTCCTGGCGTGGCCGCCGATCTCTCCCACATCTCTTCCCCCGCTGTGAGTTCCCCCGCAGCTTCCGCTCACTCCTTTGGGCCGGCTGAGCTAGGACCTGGGGAACCCCTCTCACTGACTAGCACACTAGGTTGTGACGGGACACCTTCCTGCCAACGATGGCGCTAAGAAGGCATTCAAGGACGCCGACATCATCGTCATCCCCGCAGGCATTCCCCGTATGTCCGGCGCCAACCCCTGATATCGAGAAAGCGACAGGCTAATTCCAAGCTAGGCAAACCGGGAATGACCCGTGATGATTTGTTCAACATCAATGCTGGCATTGTTAAGGGCCTGATTGAGACAGCTGCCGAAGTCGCCCCCAAGGCCTTCATCCTTGTCATCTCAAACCCTGTCAACTCGACTGTTCCTATCTCTGCTGAGGTTCTCAAGGGCAAGGGTGTCTTCAACGCTCAGCGTCTCTTCGGTGTTACCACTCTCGACATTGTCCGTGCTGAAACCTTCGTCGCTGGCATCATTGGCGAGTCCCAACCCCAGAAGCTCACCATCCCCGTCGTTGGCGGTCACTCTGGCCCCACGATTCTCCCACTCATCAGCAAGGCTTCACCCAAGGTGACCATCCCTGATGACAAGTACGATGCTCTGGTCCACCGAATCCAGTTCGGCGGTGACGAAGTTGTCGCTGCCAAGGATGGCGCCGGTTCTGCAACACTTTCAATGGCTTATGCTGGCTTCCGGTAGGTTGATCATAAATGAGAAAGCATCAGGCCACCAATCATTTAACCATTGATTTCAAATACAGATTTGCCGAGAAGGTACTTCGGGCCATCAAGGGCGAGAAGGGACTCGTCGAGCCTAGCTACGTCTACCTCCCCGGTGTTCCCGGAGGTGAGGCTATCGCTAAGAAGACCGGCACTGATTTCTTCTCTGTCCCCATCGAGCTTGGTGTACGTACATATTCAGCATAACATTGCTTCCTGCTTGCGTGGCTCTGAACTGACCAAACTCCCACAGCCCAACGGCGCTGAGAAGGCCATCGATCCCCTGGAGGGTATTACCGAGAAGGAGCAGGCTCTTCTGACCAAGGCTATCGAAGACCTCAAGGGCAACATTGCCAAGGGTGTTGACTTCGCCCACAACCCACCCCAAAAGTGAATCATCCCCTCCCTATAAGATGACTCTTTGACTCGTTAAGCAGGGTTGCCGAGTGAAGGAGGCTTGTTTCAAGAAGATTAGCTACCAACCTAGGCTTAATGAATGAATGAAAATTGTTAAAAGTGCGGGTTGCTGATACGTTTCTCATTTTTATAGGCTGTAAGATGTCCCATTTGATTGGGCAGCGCGCGATAGTTCCGTTTCAGTTCGATCTGCTTTGTTCAGACTCAAAGTATCTTCCTCAAAGTACATATTGTAGAAGGCTGGTATATGGGCGACAGATGGTAAAGATATGTGGTGTGTTGATGAGGAAAAACCAACTAATAGTAAGGGTCGAGGGTCCGATGCCGGGTTGTCCCCATTCGTATATTACAATACGGGTTAGGTTCAATTAAATTTAAGATTTTGGAGGAATGGTCTTAATCTGGAACACTGCTCCTGGCAATTCGTTGATTTCCGCTTGCACAGTAGCTTCGATGCCCAGCGCGGCCAAGGCTCCTCTGACAATTCCGCAAGGAAACCATAAGAACTGAAGCCAGGTCAACAAAGTCTCTCCATACTGAGGGTTAAAGAGGGGGTCAAGTGTAGACAAACGTACTGGCTGAGCGCGAACCACTGCTTGGCCGCCAGCTTCTGTGCTCATACGGGTGAATGGTCGGAAAACATTGTCGGTTAGGACATACACGCCCTACACTTGTTAGCGTTGGTGAACGATCACGCATATATTGGGATAATTGACGAACCCGGTGGTTGGTCTTTAGGTTGTCTATGTTCTTTCCAAAAACAAGAGACCAGAGGTCTTTGCAAAGAAATTTGATAACGTCGAGGGTGTCATTAAATCGAGGGCGGTCTCGGGAGAACCTGAGGGGAGCGATCTGATTAGTCCCAGCCACAGCGAAGACATACAAGTCAAAGGACGAACCTTTCCACTAAACCCTGACCAACCCGATACCCCGATGTCTCAAGCCTATGCCTTGCTGCATCTGCCGCATCGTCCTCGTCCACGCGGCTAGGGAAAGTGGCCGAGGGGGCAGTTCCATTTGCCGGTGTATTCTGTGTATTTGCGGTGCTTATCGTGGCGGCACCAGCGGCGGTAGGAGCTCCGGCGCCATTGCTCTCAGAATAACGAGGGGGGAGGGTCTCGCCAGTGACGCGGTACGCAAGAGGGACAAGTTCGATGAGGAGGAAGTCGAGGGCGGAGGAGCTTGTGAAAGCTGCTCCCGAGTCGGAAACGCTATGGGGGGACGCGAGTGGTTCCAAAGACATAGTCGCTACTCATATAGCTACCCCACGAGAGGGTATGGGCCAGAGACACTTGCTAATGGAGTAGGTGGGAGTAACGGGCGAGGGACTAGGGGTCGAGAGTTGACAAGAGGCTAAGACACCTATGGCAAAATCGTGAGGGGACTCTATGCCGTCAGTGCCAGGCTGAGCCGAAAAGACATTCAGAAAGAAGAAAAGATCAACATTTGTAGGCTCTAGTAGTTTGTCTTGAAGTTGTCGCATCCTAGAGCACGATTGGAACCAGGCGCAAGGGTAAATGAATTGAGGTTGGAACGGGGTTATCGATAGTGGTGCTGAAAGCATCAGCCACACCGCGGTGCCACACCATGACACCATCCAAGTGTCTTGCAGCAAATCTGGACCACAGATCTTCAACGCCTTCCATTGCGGGACCCCAATTCATCAATAGGGTAGTTCTGTCACAACCCCGGAAGTGTCGACTTTGAACCAGTGAAGCGGAGGAAGAGAGTGCCCGCTGGCAGCTCAAGTCAGCGCCATGCTTCTCTCTTCTAGATTTATTGGTCGCGTCCATCGCTCGCCAACACTAGGCTTGCAAAGACTGGCTTTACGTCCCGCTGCGAACTCACGATGTTGTTTCACAACCACGACGAGGCTACTTACACAGCCCCCACGAGACAATAAGTAGGTTCCATCATTTATGGTTCTAGATCCAATACTCGTTTATCTGCGACTAGTTAACCAATCGCTCTTCGGAACAATAGGGATCTGAATCATAAAGCTCCGACTTCAACTCCAGACCTGCCTCGAACGACGTCTTCCAAACCCAAAGACACAATCTTACACGAAGATATATACAACATCCCGAACGCTCTCACCTTCAGTCGCCTTGTCGCCGCACCAATTGTTGGCTATCTGGTGTTACACGACCAGCATGCGTGGGCTGCGGGCCTATTCGCATACGCCGGCATTACCGATCTAGTGGATGGATGGATCGCACGACGCTGGAATCGCAAGACTGTTGTTGGCACTGTCATTGATCCTATGGCCGACAAGGCTCTCATGACAATTTTGACAATTTGCCTAGCTATCAAAGGGGCCTTTCCGGGTAGGTCATCTCACAGCGGTGGAAAGTGTGACCACTAACACGACGTAGTGTGGCTTGCTGTCATAATCCTTGGCCGTGATGTCGGCCTCGCCATTTCTGCAATTTACTATCGCTGGATCTCTCTTCCTCCTCCCAAGACCTTCTCCCGCTATTGGGATTTCTCTCTGCCATCCGCCGAAGTCCACCCCACCACCATCAGCAAATACAACACTGTCCTCCAAGTAGGCCTGATCGGCATCACCACAGCCGCACCACTGATAACTGCCGATATTTCATCAGCTCTCACAATCATGCAGTATGGGAACCGTCCTATGTCCTCAGGGCGATATTCTTGAGTCGTGTATGCTAACCAGCGGCTAGATATATTGTAGCGACAACAACAGTCTGGAGTGGTGCCAGCTACATATACAGCAAAGATGCCGTTAAAATTCTTAATCAGCCCAAGGCTGGCTCTAAAGGGCAAAAGTAATCGACTTCGCATGATAAACAATTCCACTGTATGATTTAGGCCAAATTTTGTAAAAATCAGGATTTAAAATAATGTACAGAAAAAAAAAGGAATAAAACTTTTAACCAAGCATCAAATGTCGACAAAGTTGCAATCGCCCATGCATGACAAACAAATCCGTTGAATTTTTCGCTCCCAAAGCCCCTCGTCTATAATTCTTTACTATACAATGATTGAAGTTACATTATTCTTTGTTTGCGTAGATCTAAGGCACGGCTTCCAGCTCCGACGTGGAGGAAGCGATCCCTTGACGCCTGACATATGCCAAGAGCCTTATGCTCCCTGCAGGAGTGACTCCCTCCACACGTCGAGCCTGGGCCAGAGTTTCAGGCCGAGTCGCATTAAGCACTTGCTTCTCTGCGATGGCAAGGCCCGGAATAGTGTCGTAGTTCAAGTCTGTGGGAAGGAGGATCTGCTCGTCGTTCATGAATTTGGATCGCTCTGATGCCTGCATCTTTATATAAGGTGCATAGGTGGCTTCGATCGTCACTCGCTGCCTTACACGAGCTGGGTATTGGGTGATTTCGGGGAGTACAGAGGTGAGGCGGTCCATTGGGATCCAGCTACCAACAGTGTTGCTGAGTGATGATCGAAGGAGGTCTATACCTGTTCGGCGGCGGGTGTCTTTCCTTAATTGAAAGCCCTTCTCGGCCCATTGCTTCGAGCTCAAGGACACAGCCTCGAGTGCTTTGGTGAGGCTGTTCATTTGGTCCCTTTCGTCATTGAATGCCGTCCATCTCCTATCAGATACGGCCCCCCATTGTCGACCCTTTTCGGTAAGCCTCAAGTCTGCGTTGTCTGCTCTGGCAGCCATACGGAATTCGCTTCTCGAGGTGAACATTCGGTAAGGCTCCGTCACGCCCTTGGTCACCAGGTCGTCAATCATAATTCCAATGTAGCCATCGGAACGAGAAAGTGAGACGCCGGGCCGTCCAGTAGCAGCTCGACCCGCATTGATACCAGCCAAAACGCCCTGGCCTGCAGCCTCCTCGTATCCAGTAGTTCCGTTGATCTGCCCAGCTAGATATAGGCCACCGATGAATTTGGTCTCCAGTGTCCTCTTGAGCGAACGTGGGTCAACATAATCGTACTCAACACCATACCCGGGTTGGAGCATTGTGACATTCTCTAAACCCTTGATACTGCGCAAAATAGCCTCTTGTGCTTCTGGAGGTACCGTCATTGACAGCCCATTGGGATATATAACAGGACTGTCAAAGCCTTCTGGTTCAAGCCAGACAATGTGACGAACTTTCTCCGGGAACCGAATTATCTTGGCCTCTAATGAAGGACAATATCTTGGTCCTTTGACGGTTTCCCGGATATGGATTGTTTTGTCGAGGTTCTGGCGAATTATCTCGTGAGTGGCATGACTTGTATACGAGATGCTACACGAGAGCTGGTCCTTCACCACGACCTGATCGTTCAAGTAGCTGAACGGCGCGGGAGGGTCATCTCCAAACTGAGGTTCAAGCGTACCGAAGTCTATCGTAGCTTTGTCTAGTCGCGGCGGTGTCCCGGTTTTCAATCGGCCCATTTGAAAACCGGCGTCCTTGAGCGACTTGCTCAGCCCAAAGGTCGCAGCCTCGCCAATTCTGCCGGCTGGATATGCTTGCAAGCCGATATGGATCTCACCCCCCAGAAATGTTCCTGTCGTAATGACAACTGAAGTAGTTGGTATAATGCGGCCGGATTCGAGACGAACTCCAGCGACTTTGGATCGATGTCCTTCGGTATCGGAATCTTGGTTCTCTGCAAGAACAAGGTCGGATACACTATCGAGAACGACTGACAGGTTCGGGTATGACTCCAGCTCTTCGCGCATGTGCTTTTGGTACAATTTCCGATCGATCTGTGCTCGAGGGCCCTAATCCAATGTCAGTAAGGTAGCTTTCGAGAAAGCCATTCGAACGTACCCAGACCGCAGGTCCTTTGCTTCGGTTCAGTACGTGGAACTGGACACCGGCCTTATCAATGATCCTTCCAGCCAAGCCATCCAGAGCATCTACTTCGCGAATTATCGTTCCCTTTCCGATGCCGCCGAAACTTGGGTTGCATGAGCAAGTTCCGAGATTTTCGATCTTGGGCGTAATGAGGGCTGTTCTGGCACCGGTTCTGGCTGCTGCGGCGCATGCTTCTGCCCCAGCATGACCACCACCAATCACGACGACGTCGAACGGTCTAGATCAAAGCAAAATCATGTCAATAAGGTTATCTAGGACGGATATCAGGGTTGCGACGGATGCGACAAACCTATTGTCATCGGAGACTGTAGCCAGTGAGCGCTGGGCACGGAAATGATGTCGCACATATCCCCGGTGTGGCAGCCGAGCCAACCTCGACCTTAATAAGGCTTGCATGGCATGCCTCTGATACGAAGACAGCCCTACATCAATGTGCGGGGGATCAATGGTGCTGCTCGCTGTTGTTCAGGGTTGCGGGTTCTTGATCTCAACTTTTTTGCCTAGGGTATGTCATCAGAGAGCGTGCATGTGATAGGCTTATGCATATAGAGGGGCAGTTTCTGGGAGCGGCATTCAGCAACCCAACTACTATCCCAAGATTTGTCAATTAACTTTCTGCTTTCTTTCTGATTTAGCCGTATCCCTTCTCTCAAAGCACTGTCCATATTCGAATTGATAATTAAAACCAAATCACCAGTCTAGGTATCTATTTACATGCGAAAACTAGATTAGCGCCTAGTCCGACTGTCGGGCCAAGACGTTACCGCTTCTTCCACCTCCTCCAAAAATGACGCTGAATTATGAATCGAAGTACCACCTAAAACAACGCGAACGCCCGGCATAGAAGCATTGATCCCTGCAATCATTTTTGCCTCTTCGTAAGTTGCTCCTCCCACTATAAAAACAATGACATCCTGAGGTTTGTCCTTCGTGGATCCACCTCCCTCGACGAAAGGATATTGCTGCTCCTTCAGTTTCCCCTTGACTAGGTCTTGTAATGTTGTTTCTAGCAGAGGACTGTGCTGCGTATAAACATTTTCTACACCTTTCAAGCCCTTGAAACCCTTGGAGGCGTTGGAAAATATGCCGGCCGAATCAAAGATATCGGAAATTCCTCCCTGCGCTTGAGAGCTGTGCAGAGACGAGTGGTAGGTCAAGACGTGATTGACGAGCTCAGCCTGTCGGCCCGGTACCCCTCCAGCGGCAGTGAGTAACTCAACGAGCAATGGAATTGCGTTCTGTGGGTGTTTTTGATATCGAAGGGCATACAGAGCAACAAGGCCAATCTTGTTCTCTGGAGTTACTGAAGGCTTTTCTACAAGCCGTTGGATGTTCTTTTACATGGAGTCAGCATTCGTAGTCAATACCGCAAAGAGTTTCAAAATGCAAGATGATAGATGCTCACTCTTAAATCAGTGCCGTGGTTGTCGTTGCAAGCCAAGCT